ATGCATTTTTGCATTGTGCAATCATAATTTTTTTTTTATAACACAATTAAATAAGTAGAAACTCTTCAGTCTGTAAAATAAACAATTCTGGATCAATCCCGAAAGATTTAATTAAAACTGGATCACTATTCTAAATTTCAAATCTAATGTAATAATGGTGAAAAAATATCAAAAATTTTTAAAAAATCATAAACTATTTAAAGTTGATATGTTTAATTTTTTGAACAGCTCATTTTCAGCAATTTACTGACCGAACAGTAATTTATGTGATTATATCACTGACCAGTCTGTAAATTATGCAATAGTTTTCAAATGATGTATTTTTTGGATTCCATGATTCCGTTATGCATATTCGCATGGTATAATTATAATATGCCCCCAAATTTTATTCTTCAAAAAAAAAGAAAATAATATAAAACCCTTCAGGCTGTAAACACGGTCGTTTGTAAGAGGAAAGTTATTATACGCATGCGCAGTGGAATTACATTTCTTGAAGGTTTTTTAAAATGGCTACGGTAACAGGATTATAGAAACTAATCATTGACAACGAGTAATTTGTTTAATTTTAGATAATTAAATAGGTTATTAACTAGTTTTTTCATGAAATTATTTAGAAAATAGCTTGCAGCTGTACGAAGAAATTTTAAAAATAAAATACAAGATCTCTGAATGTGAATAATATCTACTTTCAGCTAAAGCAACTTTAGTTTTTTTGTTTACAATTTTTAAACCTTTTTTAAAATATTTTTGAGCGTAGAAATTTTTTAATTTAAATTTATTCAGCAAAATGAATATTTTATCTATTTTGTATTTTTTGCTTATATGAGGATTCAATTTTTTTTGCAGGGTTAAAAGAAAATCTTAATCATTAAACTTGTGTAACCTGTTGCTATGGTGCTCTTTTTCGATGTGGCTATATATATATATATATATATATATATATATATATATATATATATATATATATATATATATATATATATATATATATATATATATATATATATATATATATGTGTATATATATATATATATATATATATATATATATATATATATATATATATATATATATATATACATACATATATATATATATATATATATATATATATATATATATATATATATATATATATATATATATATATATATATATATGTATATATATATATATGTATATATATATATATATATATATATATATTTATATATATATATTATAAATTAGTAAAAAATCTCTTAACAAAATTTTATTTCATTTTACACTGTGTTTCATCAAGACTCATCAGAAGTTTGCACTGTTCTTTTAAGAACATTGAGCACTCTATTTTGTTGAATACATTTTTTTAATTGTTTAAATATATATATATATATATATATATATATATATATATATATATATATATATATATATATATATATATATATATATATATATACTCTTGCATGGTAGTTAAAAAGAGTTTCCCATAAACTGTAGTTTTAATTTTGTCAGTCGATGTAGCAGCACTCCGTTGCGAGTCAGGCTATAAGATAGTCGATGTAGCAACATTTACGCATGTTTTAAAAATGTTTTTTAATAAAACAAAAACAAAAACACTACAAATTACAAAAAACTTTCTAGTCATTATTATTGCGGTTTTTTAAAAAATTTTTAAAAAACAATAAAATTTAATGTACTTCCGCATTAATTTAATTGCTTTGACATTTCGACGACAATCAAATACAGCTTAAGAGACGAGGTAATTAAAATTGTAGTCGTAAGAGACTTTTTTTACATTAAACGACTCTTTCGACTACACTATAAGGATATATATATATATATATATATATATATATATATATATATATATATATATATATATATATATATATAATATAAACACTTATCTATTTTTTTGATAAACCTTCTGAAGGAGTTGAACAGACTGTCAAAGAGTGCTCAATATTCTTAAAGAAGAGAGCATAGTATTGTTATATGTTAGTAACATAATATTGTTATATGTTGGTAACTGCTTTGAGATTCAATTTGAAACAAAAAATGTCAATTTGCAGGGCCCTAATGTATATATATATATATATATATATATATATATATATATATATATATATATATATATATATATATATATATCAAATTGAATCTCAATATATATATATATATATATATATATATATATATATATATATATATATATATACATATATATATATATATATATATATATATATATATATATATATATATATATATATTTCATATATATATATATATATGAAATATATATATATATATGAAATATATATATACATCTCATATATATATATATACATCTCATATATATATATATATATATATATATATATATATATATATATATATATATATATATATATATATATATATATATATATATATATATATTTCAAATTGAATCTCAAAGCAGGTCTTGATTCGCGAATCGAATCATGAATCGAATCAGCTATTCGTGAAAACCAAGTTTAAGTTTTTTTTTTTTTTCCAAAAAGATAAAAATATTTCTTTGAACAAATTCTTTTTGCTCGGATTATATTTTTGGCGTTTGTTTTAAAGTGATGTTAGAACTATTTTCAATTACTCTTTCTCCCCCCGGTTTGAAAAACCCATTTCAATTACATTTTAGCTTTAGAAATCTAAAAAAACCAGCAATATTCGCAAAAATATGATTTGAAAAAACTTGAATCTTTTTTTTTTCGACTCGAATTGAAGCGACACTTGATTCACGAATCGAAGCAATTCACAAGACCCTAATATATATATATATATATATATATATATATATATATATATATATATATATATATATATATATATATATATATATATATATATTTGCATACATACATTATATATTTATGCACACTTATCTATGATCAAAATTTTGAATGTTATTATTCCAGGCTTTTGATTTAGTCAATAACCTCAAATAAATCAACTGTATTGCCTGCATCAAAGCAATACCATTAGTTATGTTTTTTGATTTTATCGATTGAATGCTATCATTTTGATTCTATCGATTGAATCATCAGTCTGGTTTTGTACATATTGATTCAAAATTAATAAATTATGATAAAAATTGATTTAAAACAAACAAATATTATAGTATATATTTTTTTAGTATTCAAACCATATTTGCGTTTCAACAAAGAAACTTACCTGTTGTAAAGAAGGGAAAAAGTAAACTAAAGCAGAAAGACTTTTTCTTGGATCTCGATATAAATATTTTTTGTGTTTCGTGTTTAAATTTTTTTTTTTAATGTTTTCAGCTTGAGATTGTTAAAATCAATATGAATATATTTAAAATATTTTTTACTTAAAGATTGAAAGAATGAAAAATGTTTTTAATGCATAAAAGATATTTATATTTTCATTTGAATTATATTTTGATCTTTTATTTTGTGTTGATTGATATTTATTTGATGCATAAAATAAATTTATATTTTTTAAATTATACTAATGTTGCTTTTTTTTCTGTTTGTCTCTATTGCATTATTACAAATATTACAAACTTTATATAGCTTTATATATATATAAATATAAATATATATAAATATATATATATATATATATATATATATATATATATATATATATATATATATATATATATATATATATATATATATATATATATAAATATATATAAATATATATATATATATATATATATATATATATATATATATATATATATATATATATATATATATATATATATATATATATATACACACACATCAGAAAGGAGTATCGTAGCAACAGGTTACAAAAAGTTAACGATTAAGATTTTATTTTAACCCTGCAAAAAAAATTGAATCCTCATAAAAGCAAAAAATGCAAAAAAGATAAAAGGTTCATCTTGCTGAATAAATAAAAATTTAAAAATTTCTACGCTCAAAATTTTTTTTAAAGAGGTTTAAAGATTATAAACAAAAACAGTAAAAGTAGCTTTAGCTGAAAGTAGATTTTATTCACATTCAGAGGACTTGTATTTTATTTAAAACATTTCTTAGTAAAGCTGCAAGTTATTTTCACAATAATTTTATTTTAAAAATAGTTAAAAGCCTATTAAATTATCTAAAATTAAACAAGTTACTCGTTGTCAATGATAAGTTTTTAAAAACGTTACATCCGTAGCCATTTTTAAAATTCTAAATTATTTTTAACTCTACTGCGCTTGCGTATAATAACTTTCCACTTATTTCTAAAGTCTAAACGACCGTGTAAAATAGATGATTCTCGACAATGGCGACAGATTTTTTAAAATAAAATTTTGTTTTTTTATTTTCTTATAGTTGTTTAATCACTTTGTGAAATTTCAAGTCAAAAGTAACAACGATTCAAAAGTTATTCAAAAGTCAGTATGACCCCAAAAACATATTAATTAGTAAAAACCCTCGGTCTGTAAAATAGATGAATCTCGTCAATCCCGACAAATTGAAAAAAAAAAAATTGGGGAATTTTATTTCCTTATAGTTGGTTGGTCACTATGAAAAATTTTAAGTCAAATGGTTCAAAATTTTAAGTCAAATTGGTTCAAAAGTTATTTAAAAGTCAGTATGACCCCAAAATATATAAATTAGTAAAAATCCTTGGTCTGTAAAATAGATGATTCTGGTCAATCCCGACAGATTTAAAACAAAAAAAATTGGAATTTTATTTCCTTATAGTTAATTGGTCACTATGGAAAATTTCAAGTCAAATGTATTATCGGTTCAAAAGCTATTCATGTGTCAATAATACTCTCATTTTACAACTGTCAAAATAGTAAGCAAGGTTAGTATCTAAAGTAAAAAAAGTAAAAAGAGATATTTATATTCAAACATAAATTTTTTTTTTAGTTTTAACAATTTTTCGCATTGATAATTACAATTCAAGATATTTAGTCCTCGATACCTGATTGCGTTCTTTATTGATGCCAGACTTTTGATTGTCAAAAAAAAAAAAAAAAAAATTATACGCTAGAGAATATTTATTTTTTTCTTATAGTAAACATTTTTTAAAGTGTTTTTCAAATTTGTTTTTAGTGGCGCTATCAAGGATCGTTACAACATCTAATGTACCATCTTCGTTAGAAACAGCCTTTACTACTGTTGCATTGTGATAAAGCCAGCTAAAAAAAAAAAATTCAAGGATTACTTAAAATATACGGCTTTATATTTTTTAATTCCCTCAAAAAATTATAAAATCAATATAATTTTTTCTTAGTTGCCAAATATATTTTATATTTCCGTCAAAAAAATATTAAATCAAAATATTTTTCTTTTAGTTTCCAAATATATTTTGACAGCATAGTCTATTTTTTAACAAAAAATACTGAATTATGCCGTCAAATTATATTTGGCAACTAAAAGAAAAAAATATTGATTTTAAGTTAAACTGGTCTATTATAAAATAGTAAACGACCAGGGTTGACCAGGATGACCGGGGCTGGGACCGGGGCCGGGTTTGATAAAATATATTTCACAAGTCCCGGTCACAAAGAAATTTTTTTGGGTAAAATATCCGGAAAAAATTTGGAAAATATTTTCTCTTATATTCCTCCTAATTTTGATTTTAGAGGAATTGCTTCTGATTTTTTTTTCAAACTTTTCTTTATTTTTTTTATGAGTAATGATTAAAAAACAAATATATAACAAAAAATTATACCTAAACTTGTATGTATACAAAATGATTTGGATATCCGGAAAAACTAAAATTTGAAAAAAATATCCGGAATTCCGGAAAAGGATAATCCTTGATAAACATACATCTTAAAGTACATTTATTTTCTTCAAAATTTATGTTTGATTTTGTATATATGCGTTTATAAACATCATTATGATCAACATGACCATCATCATGATCATCATTATCATTATCATCGTCATCATAATTGTGATCATCATTATTGTTATTATCATCGTCATTATCACCATCATTATCATCATCATTATCATCATTATTATCATCATCATTATCTGCTGATGACGACGACATCATCAGGCTTTAGCCTTCCTCTTTTATGCTGTTTCTCTAATCATGGTCAATGCTAAAACGGGCTATCATCTCTATTACAATAAACCAAAACTCATTCTTGCTTTGCTTCTTATGCAACAAGTTGCATCCTTTTACTGTATCTGTTTCTATTTATTAAATACTAGCATATATATATGCCAGAATTTAATAAAAAGGAAATGTAAGTATAAAATTATAATATATAAAGAATTATTAATTTACTTCTAGCCCCGGCTATCAACCTTTGCTAAATCTTATCATTTTGCCGGGGCCGGATTTGCAAAAGGTCTTGTTTTTAGCCGGGGCCCTGGTCACTTACTATTCTAAAAACTGCGCCTGCCTATAATAACATTGCCATAAAATGTCTACTCTGTTTACAATAAATTATTACTCATTTGGATCAAGAAAACTTACTAACCAAAAAATCTGAATTAATTTGTAAATGCAGAGTATCTTTAAGTATCTTTAAATAAATAAGTAAAATTAAATAACCAAACTAAAATTATCCTAATTCTAATTTTAATGTAGTTGATGCAATCTCCTGCAGCCGTATTCACATCCCATCCGTTAAACCCTGCGATAAACTATCGGCTGGTTAAAAGTAAATCGGCAGTTTTTATCGCCAGCGATAAAATAAACTTGTATTCTAATGTCTTCGTTTGGTTAACGGCAGGTGTAAATTTAATTTTGGAAGACTATTAACGCCAAAATCTATCCCTGCTATACCCTTTTGTTAAAACTTCTATCGGAGGAATTTTCTATTATAATAGCTAAAATAAAAAATGGTATCCAATCAAAACCTAAACAAATAAGTTTACTTTTATAACAAACAAGCTATAATATCATATTTATATGATTTATTCCTTAATTGTGAAAAAATTTATGTTCATTATTTATACGGTTGATAGATTTTAATAATTGAAATAAATGTTATTAAAAATTAAATTTATTTTGCATTTGATTATTATGCACGCACTATGAGCATATATGTATGTTAAATACATGCGTATCTATATAACATTTATGGGTTTAATTATGTATAAAAGCAAATATACATATACTTTGATTCAAAAATAAACAAGTATTTCAAGATATCAATACATGTATATGTATCTATGCAGTGCCGGATCAAGGGGGCTAGGGGGGGACTATAGCCTCGGGCCCCGCAAATTTAGGGGCCCCCGAAAATTTTAAAGGACCTTTATTTTTTATTTTTTTAGGGTCTGGCCTATAAAAAGGCCTCCAAAAACAAAAAAAGCCCCGGGCTCTAAGAAGTCTTAATCCGCCACTGTATGTATGTATGTATGTATGTATGTATGTATGTATGTATGTATGTATGTATGTATGTATTTATGTATGTACATATATATATATATATATATATATATATATATATATATATATATATATATATATATATATATATATATATATATATATATATATATATATATATATATATATATATATATATATATATATATACAGCTTTAAAGCGAGCCTCAATAAGGTCCAATGTTACTACAGCTCGCAGTTTTTCCTAGTTACAATTTCAATATGATCTTCACAAAAACTAATTGTAATCTGACAATCTATGATTTGTAGTTTGTCAATTATTTTAACTTTTGTTGTAACAAATATATACTTATATATTTAGATTAATTTACTTATATATTTAGACTAATTTACATATAAAGCCTAAATTTTGTAGTTAAAGGTTTTTGAGTTAAACAGAATTTCATACTTTTTGTATTAAAAGGGTTAAATATAAACCTAAAAGGTGTAACCCTAATAAAATTTAGAGTTTAAAAAAAGTCTGAAAGAGCCATACGTAAAATGTCAAAACATTTAATATGCAATCAGTGATTGCAGCCTCTGCTGGTTTTAAATAAAAACCAGATGACTGTGCAATTGTCATGATCAAGATCAAGAAAAAGCAGTATTGCTTGAATAATGTTATAATCAAGAAAAAGCAGCTTGAATACTGTTATGATGAAAAAAAAGGGGCATGGCTTAAATAAACTACAATGCATAAAATATTTCAATAAAATTTAGTCTTGATTTAGTTTTTTTAACATTATTTACTGTATATACATTTTATACACATAATATTTAAAAGTTTTTGGAACTCTAATTACTCTATATAAATTATTCTTCTTTGTTCAACTAGTTTCAAATGCTTTTAGCCACTTATATTTTTTGCTTTTTATTAAAGACAAAAAACTAAAAGTTTGAAAAACTTTCAGTTTTTTTGTCCAAAACTTGAATAACTTTATTAATTTTTTAATTTTAAGAGTCATTTTATTCAGTTATATACTATTTTACATATATAGTGATTGTAATAATACAAATTTTTTTTTTGCTTTTTTTGTCTAATTATTTGTAATTTTTGAGCTTATTTGATTGGTATTCTTTGATTGGTATTCTTTGTCTTTGAAAAATCACTAATTATAGCTCTTTATAATTGGTTAAACTTATTATCTTTGGAAAATCACTATTTATAGCTCTTTTTTGTATCCAAATTTTCATATAGATCAAATAGAGCTTTAATCTCCACTCCAGTCTTACTGCATAATAATAACTCCAGTTTATCTCCATCATGATAAACACTCCAGTCTTACTGCATCATAATAACTCCAGTTTATAAACATTATAGTTTTACTGCATTTAATTTATTGCATTATGATAAACACTCAGTTTAGAGAATTTTAATAAATACTCTAGCGGTTTGTTGTTCTATTCACTAACCAATGTGGTCAATTAAAAACAATGACCAATGTGGTCAATTAAAATAGTCCATTGATAATGGAAGCTACAAAAAATAAAAATATTCTGTTTAGACTATTTATTTCTGAGTTTGTAGATCATTTGCTAAATATTATTATATAATATTTAGCAAATAATCCACAAACTCATTAGAAATACCTGTTTTCTATCTAAATAAACGGCTTAAATACATTTGTGGATTTTAGCTATATTAGTAGCACTGTGATTCTGAAGCTAAAAAATTATTTCAGATTGTTCCTTTAAACTTTTTTTTTTGTCAGCTTGAAAAAAATAAACTAATATGACATAAAATAATTTATGAAGTGGTAATAACAATAAAAATAATTTCACAATATGAATTATTAAACCGTAGCTAAGGAAGACATGACCTTATTTAGACAAAAAAAGACTACAGAAATCTTATTAACATCATTATATGTTAACTTGAACACAGTTTTGAGTAAAAAAACAAACTTTCCTTTTAGGAGCCAAATTACACAATAAGATATCAACTTTAAACATAAAAAAAATGCATTAAATCTCAGTCTTTAAATGCATTTCTTAAAAACAAAAAAATAACTGTTTAGAACCGTTAAAAAACAATGGTCGCACTTGGTAAATTATTGTAAATAATAATGCAGTAAAACCAAATTTTTTTTTGGAACAAAAAGATAAAGAGCATATTATTTTATTTTTTATTTTATTTAGAGCAAATTTATGTTATAACAAGGCTGGGACTACTTTTCATTTTCTCGATTCTCAAACTTATCAAAACCTTTTTTTAAACCTTAAAATCTCAGTAACCAGTTTTTTTTTCATCTTTTTTATGTACTTACATTTGTCTTTTTTTTTTTGCTATTTTTTAATGTTCTGTAAAATGTTATCATTTATAATTTTTATTTTTAAAGAATTTTTAACAGCATTTTTTTTTTGTTAGTTTTAAAATCTTTTACTTTATCTTTGATGGAAACACTTTTCAAATATTATCCTCTTTTAGAACTGCATATGAGGACAATGAGGACTTATTTTATAATACATCAATAACTATTATTATTATTATTATTATTATTATTTACTATTATTGTTACTGTTATTTTTTATTGTTATTACCATCATTAATAATATTATTTGTTTAAAAAAATTACAAATAAAATAACTATAGTCAACCTCAATTCATTTCCTGTTTGATCAATACGAATGTTGACCACGCTTCTTTTTGTTAAACTTAAAATTTTTTTTTCAACAGTCAATCTCAAGTTATCTATACCATCGCCATGTTTGGCAGATACAAAATGAGCATCTTTGCTGTCTTGTAGTTGTAAAGCATTGCTAAAAAATAAATCAAAATGACCAAAACTATTATTAATAAAATTTTGCTATACAAATAAAACTAGGGAATAATTGATAACAATTTTTGATTTGATAACAAAAAATATTTAGTCGTAAACTAATTTTATTATAATTTTTTTCATTTTATCAAGGAATCAAACCATTATTATTAAATGAATAACAAAAAATACAAAAAAGAATCAATTTTAAATCTTCCTACCCTTCCCTATGCATGTTAACTTTTTGAGAGGCAGAATCGTCACTTTATTGCTTATTAATAAATTATTTGTTATACATTTCATAAGAATTTAGTTCTTGTTCATTTTTCAGAGAATAAAGTAGTTGATGCATGTACCATATTTATATTTGTATATATCGTGGCATTTTAAAAGTTCAACAAGTTCATATTATTAGTATTAAATAATACTCATTTGTGCTATATATACATATATACATTGTATATACATATATACATTATATACAATATACACTGCATCTAAATTTAAAAATATTTAAAAATGATGAATTTGATGGCTACTAAATTCAGAATTTGTTTTTGAAGAGTCAGATAATTTGTTAAATATAAGTCTTAGTAATGGTGTATTAAATATAAGTCTTAATAAATGGGAAATAAGAAAAAGTCTTAATAAATGCGTAATAAGAAAAAGTCTTAAAAAATGCGTAATAAGAAAAAGTCTTAATAAATGCGTAATAAGAAAAAGTCTTAATAAATATAGTCTTATCTAAGATAAAATGTGTAAGCAATTAGTAAAGTAAGCTAATAATTTATTCAATGGTTAATAATTAAACATTTAATTAATAGCTACTTAATGAATCTTGAGCAACTCAAGATGTCAAACTAATAGTTTTTATCAATTGTGTTTGCAATGTTAAAGATTTGAAATAAGCTTTGACAAAGCATAATTCAGTTATAGCTTAGAGAAACTGTTAAATATAAAAATTTCAATAGATTTTTTTGCGCATACATTTTGCATCCTTTCTATTCAAGTCGTATGCTATCCCTAAAAATGGCTGCAAAGGTCATTGGCAAGATTTTAAGTATCATTAACAAAAAGCGAATAATCATTAAAATTTTACATGAAATTAATGAACCATACTTTAAAAATCTAAAATTTTGAATTAAAAAAACAAAAAACTTTTAAAATAACCTACCTTAAATCAACTTTATTGAAAACATTAACCATGTTTGATAATAAATTTTCTGGCAAATTTAACTTCATTAGTACATTAGAAACTGTTTCTATTTGAAGTTCAAATTCAGGATGAGAACAGTCACATACATGCAAAAGCAAATCCTATATCAGGCAAAACAAAACAAAAATAAAAACTTTAAAAAAAAGGATACATTAAAGTTGTTGACATTCAAGGTAATGAAAATTCAAATAATTAAAACAAAGAAGACGGTTAAAATATGGATTTTTGATGGATTTGATCTTTGGTTTCAAAAACTTGATTTGTAATATAAATTACAAGACTTTTCCAGTTACAAAGACTTGTAGTTACAACTAAAAACTCTTTGTAACTTTATTTGATTTTCATGATTTAATGTTAATTTTATTGTCAACATTATTTTAAAAATACAATATTCTTCTTAGGTAAGTAAAAAATGTTTTTTTTATTCTCAGATTTTAGATGCCATTTTTAATCGAGGGGCTGTTACTGGTTTTATTTACATTAAAACAAATTCTTTTATTTATATTAGATCACAAAAAGTTACCAGATATCCTGATAATTTTTCACTAACACTAAATAAAAAAAAATTACGGAATTTATTTATAAATAAAAAATACCGAACTACATTTCATAATTTTCTGTTTATTGACTGTTTGTGTAATATATCACGTTTTACTTAAAAAAACAGTCGTTTTGCATTAAAATAATGACAAAAAACATTCTTCTTTTTTTTGCAGCTCATTCCATTTCAGTTAAAACAATTTTAATAAGTTAAAATCTACAATCTAAACTAAACTTAATCTCACTTTATTAAAGTTAATTTTTGAGGGACTTAATTTTTGCCCTGGAAATTTATTTTAGATTTGAGTTATTTAAGTACCACTTTGATATAAGAATCTTTTGCAAATATTTGATTCCTGATATTTTAAGGGTAAAATAATGGGCCAGTTTACAGCTTTAAGGAGGGTCTGACCTAGACTTAGTCGCAAATTTTGATGTGAGATTTTATACTTTTTTAATCATCTGAAATTATATTTTAGTTTGTGAAGTTTTTGGCTCTGTTACTACTAGGGTCAAATAATGGTCCCTTTGAGCCAGATTGTAAGGTTCATGAGCACCAAATGCACCTAACTGACAAATCGTTTCTTAATGAGTCCAACTTTATTGTTAAATTGAAGGCATCGAACCTTCAATTTAAAAATAAACCTGATAAAAATGGGGTAAAAAAACTGTGGCTGGCTGCTGAACTAAAAGTTAATGGAAATGTAATGAATGCAATCAATGGAGATCATGCTAAAGAGAAGAAAGATAATGATGATATGCTATAACAGACTAAAATTTCAGCCTTTTATTCTTAAAATATATTATTTATATTATCATATTTATAAGATTTGTTTTACTGAAACTATTTATAACCAAACTTTAAAAATTATTTTACTAACAATAAAGATACTAAAACATACAGCTGTTTTGAGGTCATCTAATGTTGTAGAAAATGACTCAACAAGTTCATGAGGCAAATCAGATATAAACCCTACAGTATCCATATAAATAATGCTCAAACCACATGGAAGTTTTCCTTTATGAGCAGTAGAATCTAATGTTGCAAAAAGTTTGTCTTCTGGAGTTAGAGAAATATCATGAGATAAGCATTTTGCTAGTGTAGTCTTTCCTAAGAAATTATTTTTATAATATATATATATATATATATATATATATATATATATATATATATATATATATATATATATATATATATATATATATATATATATATATATATATATGTATATATATATATATATAAATATATATATATATATATATACATATATATATATATATACATATATATATATATATATATATATATATATGTATATGTATATATATATGTATGTGTGTATATATATATATATATATATATGTATATATATATATATATATATATATATATATATATATATATATATATGTATATATATATATATATAAATATATATATATATATATATATATATATATATATATATATATACATATATATATATATATATATATATATATATATATATATATATATATATATATATATATATATATATATACATATATATATATATATATATATATATGTATATGTATATATATATGTATGTGTGTATATATATATATATATATATATATATATATATATATATATATATATATATATATATATATATATATATATATATATATATATATATATATATATATATATATATATATATATGTATGTATGTATATGTATATATATATGTATGTGTGTATATATATATATATATATATATATATATATATACATACATTAATTTTAAGTGTAATATTTTGGCTCATATATATATATATATATATATATATATATATATATATATATATATATATATATATATATATATATATATATATATATATATATATATATATATATGTATATGTATATATATATGTATATGTATATATATATGTATATGTATATATATATGTATGAGTATATATATATATATATATATATATATATATATATATATATATATATATATATATATATATATATATATATATATATATATACATATATATATACATACATTAATTTTAAGTGTAATATTTTGGCTCATATAGTTCAAGCCATTATCACACAAAAATACACAACAAAAACTCTTTATTAACAAAAATAATGTCATTGCTGTAAAATATCATAAAAGTTTTTTATATTTAACAATAAAAGATTTCCAATAACAAGATTTCATTAAGTTGCCATTATCTTTAGAATCTTATTTTTAGGGCTTAAATCTCTCTATTTCAATGGTTTCAGGGATTTTGCGAGTATAATTAATTGGGATGACCGAAAGTGTTTTGGTATTATTTAAATTAATTGTATTTTTTCAATTTTGTATATGATCCACAATTCCTGATGCTTTCCAGTTCACTTCAATCACATTTTTTTGATGTTCAACTATTCATGTTGTTATCTTTTTTTCTAAGTTAATTTACATTAAAAGCCCTACCTGTATATTTATGTTGATAAACTCCTGGATAACTGATTGGAGGTAGCTTTGACTTATTTTAGTATAACAGGTTTGAATAGATCTTCTAAATTAGAAAACTGTTTTCATGCTTTGTGCAATTTATGTCTAAAAGGGGCTAGGAAAGTGGTTAAAAAAAAGCAATTTGATAATCTCAAAAATTTTTCTCAGATACACCATTTAAAGCAAGCATATGGAAAAGACCAGCAGACAAAACTTTGTCAAAAACTTTAGACATGTAATATGCCCTAGCCTTTCCGGCTCCAACTAATGCATGATAAAATCTTTTATTCACAGTAGTTATTAAAATCTTTCATTCACAGTAGTTATTAAAATCTTTCATTCACAGTAGTTATTAAAATCTTTCATTCACAGTAGTTATTAAAATCTTTCATTCACAGTAGTTATTAAAATCTTTCATTCACAGTAGTTATTATGATAAAATCTTTAATTCACAGTAGTTAATAAAATTTTTTATTCACAGTAGTTATTAAAATCTTTCATTCACAGTAGTTATTAAAATCTTTCATTCACAGTAGTTATTATGATAAAATCTTTCATTCACAGTAGTTAATAAAATCTTTTATTCACAGTAGTTATTAAAATCTTTCATTCACAGTAGTTATTAAAATCTTTCATTCACAGTAGTTATTAAAATCTTTCATTCACAGTAGTTATTATGATAAAATCTTTCATTCACAGTAGTTATTAAAAACTTTCATTCACAGTAGTTAATAAAATCTTTTATTCACAGTAGTTATTAAAATCTTTCATTCACAGTAGTTATTATGATAAAATCTTTCATTCACAGTAGTTAATAAAATCTTTTATTCACAGTAGTTATTAAAATCTTTCATTTACAGTAGTTATTAAAATCTTTTATTCACAGTAGTTATTAAAATCTTTCATTCACAGTAGTTATTAAAATCATTCATTCACAAAAGTTATTAAAATCTTTCATTCACAAAAGTTATTAAAATCTTTCATTCAAAGTAGTGATTATAAAAAAATCTTTCATTCACAGTAGTTATTATGATGAAATCTTTCATTCACAGTAGTTATTATGATAAAATCTTTCATTCACAGTAGATATTAAAATATTTCATTCACAGTAGTTATTATGATAAAATCTTTCATTCACAGTAGTTATTATGATAAAATCTTTAATTCACAGTAGTTATTAAAATCTTTCATTCACAGTAGTTATTAAAATCTTTTATTCACAGTAGTTATTATGAAAAAAGCTTTCATTCACAGTAGTTATTAAAATCTTTCATTCAAAGTAGTTATTAAAATCTTTCATTCAAAGTAGTGATTATGATAAAATCTTTCATTCACAGTAGTTATTAAAATCTTTCATTCACAGTAGTTATTAAAATCTTTCATTCACAGTAGTTATTATGATAAAATCTTTCATTCACAGTAGTTATTATGAAAAAATCTTTCATTCACAGTAGTTATTAAAATCTTTTATTCACAGTAGTTATTAAAATCTTTCATTCACAGTAGTTAATAAAATCTTTCATTCATAGTAGTTATTATGATAAAATCTTTCATTCACAGTAGTTATTAAAATCTTTTATTCACAGTAGTTATTAAAATCTTTCATTCACAGTAGTTATTAAAATCTTTCATTCACAGTAGTTATTCAAATCTTTCATTCAGAGTAGTTGTTAAAATCTTTCATTCACAGTAGTTATTTTGATAAAATCTTTCATTCACAGTAGTTATTAAAATCTTTCATTCACAGTAGTTATTAAAATCTTTCATTCACAGTAGTTATTATGATAAAATCGTTCATTCACAGTAGTTATTAAAGTCTTTCATTCACAGTAGTTATTAAAATCTTTCATTCACAGTAGTTATTAAAATCTTTCATTCACAGTAGTTATTAAAATCTTTCATTCACAGTAGTTATTATAATAAAATCTTCAATTCACAGTAGTTATTAAAATCTATAATTCACAGTAGTTATTATGATAAAATCTTTCATTCACAGTAGTTATTAAAATCTTTTATTCACAGTAGTTATTAAAATCTTTTATTCACAGTAGTTATTAAAATCTTTCATTCACAGTAGTTATTATGATAAAATCTTTCATTTACAATAGTTATTAAAACCTTTTATTCACAGTAGTTATTAAAATCTTTAATTCAAAGTAGTTATTAAAATCTTTCATTCACAGTAGTTATTAAAATCTTTCATTCACAGTAGTTATTATGATAAAATCTTTCATTTACAGTAGTTATTAAAATCTTTCATTTACAGTAGTTATTAAAATCTTTCATTCACAGTAGTTATTAAAATCTTTCATTCACAGCAGTTATTAAAATCTTTCATTCACAGTAGTTATTATGATAAAATCTTTCATTCACAGTAGTTATTAAAATCTTTCATTCACAGTAGTTATTAAAATCTTTTATTCACAGTAGTTATTAAAATCTTTCATTCACAGTAGTTATTATAATAAAATCTTTCATTCACAATAGTTATTAAAATCTTTCATTCACAGTAGTTATTAAAATCTTTAATTCAAAGTAGTTATTAAAATCTTTCATTCACAGTAGTTATTAAAATCTTTCATTCACAGTAGTTATTAAAATCTTTCATTCACAGTAGTTATTAAAATCTTTCATTCACAGTAGTTATTAAAATCTTTTATTCATAGTAGTTATTAAAATCTTTTATTCACAATAGTTATTAAAATCTTTCATTCACAGTAGTTATTATGATAAAATCTTTCATTCACAGTAGTTATTAAAATCTATAATTCACAGTAGTTATTATGATAAAATCTTTCATTCACAGTAGTTATTAAAATCTTTTATTCACAGTAGTTATTAAAATCTTTTATTCACAGTAGTTATTAAAATCTTTCATTCACAGTAGTTAATATGATAAAATCTTTCATTTACAATAGTTATTAAAACCTTTTATTCACAGTAGTTATTAAAATCTTTAATTCAAAGTAGTTATTAAAATCTTTCATTCACAGTAGTTATTAAAATCTTTCATTCACAGTAGTTATTATGATAAAATCTTTCATTCACAATAGTTATTAAAATCTTTTATTCACAGTAGTTATTAAAATCTTTAATTCAAAGTAGTTATTAAAATCTTTCATTCACAGTAGTTATTAAAATCTATTATTCACAGTAGTTATTAAAATCTTTCATTCACAGTAGTTATTAAAATCTTTCATTCACAGTAGTTATTAAAATCTTTTATTCACAGTAGTTATCAAAATCTTTCATTCACAGTAGTTATTATGATAAAATCTTTCATTCACAGTAGTTATTAAAAACTTTCATTCACAGTAGTTATTAAAATCTTTAATTCACAGTAGTTATTAAAATCTTTCATTCACAGTAGTTATTAAAATCTTTCATTCACAGTAGTTATTAAAATCTTTCATTCACAGTAGTTAATAAAATCTTTCATTCACAGTAGTTATTAAAATCTTTCATTCACAGTAGTTATTAAAATCTTTCATTCACAGTAGTTATTAAAATCTTTTATTCACAGTAGTTATTGAAATCTTTCATTCACAGTAGTTATTATGATAAAATCTTTCATTTACAGTAGTTATTAAAATCTTTC